CAGCACCACTCCCCACCCCACCCTATCTTCTTTTTGCTTGGTCTCCATCATTCCAGTAGTTCACCTGCACCTACTTACATAGTCTTTGTAATCTTTAATATTATTGACATTGCTACTACAATTAACATTGTTGCGATCCTTACTGAAATATTTTCCTCTCTTCAATGTCTCAGTCTAACAGGTCGAGACAGTCTGGAACTGTGCCCAGATATTTCAATCTGGTTCACTTGAGGTTATCCTGAGGGTGATGGTTGTGTACCATGTCTAGAATAGTTGTACTATTCCTGTATTTTGTCAAATGTATTCTAGGTTGTGTCATATCATTTGATAATCATACTCAGTCTCACTTCCTGCCCCAAGTAAGTCCAATGCCTTCCTGTTCCATCTGACTATCCCTTGAAATGCTCCGGCAATATAAAACCTCAGTTAATCAGGTTCCCTGATGAACATAGCTTCTGGCTCCCTGTCCCATAATCAGACATCCTGCCCTTGTTTCACTGTTGACTGAGATTCCAGCCTGTGTGTAAGATTGGATCACCTGCTGCTTTTTGCCGGGGCTTCTCTTTAGTTGTTTTACCTTTTTGTGATCTTGAGTTTATGTTTAGCTTTAAATTGTTCGAGAACTGGTGACCGATTTTAATCATCCATGCCACGAACAATTCCATTGGCAGATACTCATGAAGCAATTGTGTTGCTCTGTAACTGAGTCAAGCTCATTCCCGGCCTGGGTTCTTATAACTTCTCTGTCTTGACTGCTCTTCCTTTCTGTTTGACTGAGGATGGAGAACATGTCATATGATCAATGCCCACTTCCAGAACAAACTTCCTAAAATCCTTCTGCATGAATTGATATCCATTGTGCTCTGGTAATTCTTCTGGAAAACTGTGTATTTCCTTTTCATTGTCCTGATCTCTGCATCTACTTTAGCTGAATGATGTCATGCCTCTCCAATTTGTCCTGAATAATAGTTGACCTGGAATAAATATTCCTTCTGAAATCAGATAAGCCCATTGCTAACCTCTCCAATGACGTTCCCAGAAATCTTGATGAAATCGTTGTAGCTGTACTTCGCTGTATATAGCCCACATGTATCACAATGAAATGCAATTCTTCATGTCTTTTGAAATGTCTGACCACTATACAATTGTCATGCCTTTTCCCTGTACTTTGTGGAAACTGGATACTCCCCATGGAGTTTCAGTGGGATTTCTTTTCGCATCAATTTTGCTACAAGCAACACATCTTCCATTGTTGTCCAGTTTTTTCGCTTATGGTGCCATTTCAGCACATGGTTTGCTGCACAATATTTTGACCCCCCCCCCAACCCCCGGCAACCTACGGGCACAGAGCACCACACCCACACACCATACCAACTTAGCAAAAGAGCTGTCTGACCTATGTGCAGTCCTTGTCAGACTTTTGACATACATGTACTTTTATTTGGTTGCATTCTCTTCAAAGCCTCTCAATATCTGGTAAAGTGTTGGTTATAGCCTTAAAATAAGATGTTACTTTTGCAAGAATAAGATCATCTTTTTCTGCTCACTTTGCTATTTCTCATGTATGTACCTACCATTACTTGCGTTTTGAATGGAACAGAGATTATGCACTCATATCTCACCAGCCCAAGCCTGAATCATTCCACATGTGGAGACATGGTTAAGATGTCTTTCCAGCCCAATAATGTTGCCAAAGACACGGTGTCCATCTCAATCTGAAATTTGAGTTGAATGATTCGAACCTTTCACAGCCCCATGGAACTCTTTGGTTGTATACCTCTGTTTAGTCACCATCGGAAATCTTCCTGTAAAATAGATTCCATTTTCACATTCCATCAATTTACACTTGAATAAGGACAGCTCCTAGTCCAGTGGCAGTAGAGTGAATAATCCTGGATTGTAATGTACTAAAGCATCAGTAGAAGGTACCATCTCATCATAGAATCCCTACAGTGTGGGAACAGGCCCTTTCGCCCAACAAGTCCACACCGACCCTCAGAGCATCCCGCCTAGATCCATTCCCCCATAACCCACCTAATATACACATCCCTGGACACTATGGATAATTTAGCATGGCCAATCCACCCTAACCTGCACATCTTTGGACTGTGGGAGGAAACCAGAGCACCCGGAGGAAACCCACGCGGACACGGGGAGAATGTACAAACTCCAGACAGACAGTTGCCCAAAGGTGGAATCGAACCCAGGTCCCTGGCACTGTGAGGCAGCAGTGCTAACCATTGAGTCTGTTCTTGACTCCAATACTGTTGCTGGTCTTGTTTTGCAAGCTCAATAACAGATTGAGTAAGACTGGCTGAGTTGGGGGTAAAAATTCCCAACTGATTTACTATGCTTAAAAACCTCTGTATATCTTCTGTGTACTGCAGTGTGGGAAATTCATTGAAGTTTCTCATCTTCCTTTGATCCACCATGATGCTCTGATCTTGGAGGCTGTGTCCTAGAGATGTAATTATATTCTAAAGAATTAATGCTTCTCATTTAGCATAAGGCCTGTGTTTTGTTGCGCCATTATTTCTGAAGAAGGGTCCCAACCCAAAATTTCAGCTTTCCTGCTCCTCTGATGCTGCCTGGCCTGATGTGTTCATCCAGTTCCACGCAGTGTTATCCCTGAATGTCTTGTTGTGTTCAATCTTCATTTGTCATGCTCTGGGATGCCATCCATGTGGAAAATGGTTTCCAGTCTCCCTTCCAGGATTCCAGAAAATCTGTAGAAAATCTCTGATGCGGAGGAGATCCCAAATGGTTGCTGGTTGAAGTAATACCATCTGATTAATGTGATTAATGCAGTCAGAAATCTGGACTCTTGGTTTCAAGGTTTGTGCCAGAATGCATAGTTTTGTTATAAACTAGTTTGCCACTCTATTATCAGTAGACGAAGTGAGCTGCATTTCCCTTCTTACTCCTTTGACTGAGTAAGATCCACACACTGTCTTGGTTCTTCATTTATCTTGGAAACGGTTATCAGCCCTGAGCACCATTGTGTCAATTCTGTCACTGATGATATGACATCCAAGCTTTCTAGCTGAGATTTTACTTTTCCTTTCAAAGGATGAGGAACGTTCCTGGGAGCGTTTAGCATCTTTAGATCAGTTTAGCATTTTCTTGCAGAATATCTTACTTCAGTTTGCCCGAAGTTCTGAATAATTTAGTAATTTCTTGCTGCTATTTCCTCCTGTCTTCATTCTGAAATATTGTATCCACTTTCTCT